ATGCTGTTAAACATGACCTATATTTTGCCGTTATTTTTCACACGCTTCATAGGTGTTTTTAAAATGGTTCGGAAAACCACTATATCAACATATCTGAGATTACTTCAAAGCGAGGAGTAAATTAGAGTGGTTGTTTCACATTTGTGTGAAGTTTGAAGTCAACTGAGTTTATTTTAAAACTTAAGCAGTGCTTCGTCTTCGCACCTTATTTCGGTCATTTTATTACACGAAAAACCGCACTTTGACCGCGCTTTCAAATTTTCGCGAATTTCTGAAAAATAAAAATTCGCTGGAACCTTTAAATATGATTTTTAGAATTAGGTCATCTAAGGGTATCTTTGGGCAAAATAAGAGCGATTTGTCAAATGGGACGTTGACCGGCGTTTCTCGATCCTAACAGTCAGCCATTCTTAATAACGTTACCTGTATTTTCCTTTGCAGAGTATTCTTCAGACAACATTTCCACATGAAGTCGATACTCTATTGTGGGATAGATCCCAGTGATAAAAGGTATGACTAAGACCAGAGAATTGTATTCATTGCCCGATTCGTCACGTAAACGTTTATCAATCTGTCACGCAGACTAGATCAATCTGTGACGCAAAAAAAAAAAAACAATCTCTAAAGCAATAAAACAAAAGTGACAAATAGGGTGACAAACATAACCTCCTTCCTAGGGCCTTTTCCCTGGCTTGGGGGCGGGGCGGGGTGGGAAAACGCCCTGGGATCGGCCGGTCAAATGATCTCAGATTACCCAAATATCCTGGGTGTACTAAGTTATCGTGTGTTAAACGAAACTGTCAAGATGGCGGTCTCTTCGAGCGAACCAGATTTTTTGTCAGTGCTTCGTCGAGTCGGATGTTCTTTAAATAACGGTAATATTCCATCTTTAAATTTAAAACCTCTTCAAATGAAGTGTTTCGAATATATGCTGAAGGGTCAGTGTAGTTTTGAAGAGACGACCTTTACTCGACGAGTCCATTTATTCAACAAACGGATAAAATGCTACATACCCATGTTATGAAACTGATTTGCATTACTCACACACATTCCACGCCCATTCCACACGCATGCATTCACACGCTTGTTCCACAGTCAGGATGTTTTTGAAGTCCTACCTACTGGATTTGACAAGTCAATGCTCCTCAACGCCCCGCCCCCAAGCCAGGAAAAGGCCTGGGAACGAGGTTGTGACAAACAGCGTTTTTGTCCGCACCGGCGAAAACGTGAATGACTGGTCTCTGTAGAATTATTGAGACGAGTATGATTCGCTTTAGTTTCTTTAGTATCGATGGATTTTGGTGAGAGTACTGATAAAAACAACTTAAAAACTTTCTCTAGATATTTGTGAAGTATTTAAGACAATTATAGCCAACTGTAAAATCTCTACAGTTCAATCCATCCGAGTTAACTCCTCTGTTGTCTGTTTAATTTATTACAGATGGGATCTGAAGACGTCGACATACAGTGGCAAGTCAAAGTAAGTCACGCGTACAAACATTAAAAATAGCAGGAACCCAGCAAAAGGAATATACTGATAGAAGGGTGGTTGATAGCTAATTAAGGTTAACCAGTCAGTGGGGGTATCTTCAAGGGAAGGGGGGTGAGTTATAGTGGAACTTTGTCCCCGAAGGGGGAAGGGGAGAGGCTGAGTATAAAGGACTATCTACCTGAGTCTAAAAATGTGTATGGCGAATTGGAGGAATCGGTCTGAGTAACAGAGCTTACAGGAGGACGGAGGGGTGGGTGGGTGGGGGTAACAGGAGTGGGGGATTCTTGGATTTTGCGCGTTTCTGTGTTGTGTTTGATAATTCTGTTGTTGTTGTTCGTCAGGTCATTTGGTCTTGTGCTACGACAAACTGGCGGAGTACACAATGAGTGCCACTTATTCGGAGAAATCTCTAAGGACTGGCCATCAAGCATCCTAGTTATCATACTCAACAGATCCATGACTTCATCCACGTAACGTAACGTAACGTAACGCATCGTAACGCAATATAGTTCAGTACACAAGCAAGCCACATTACAAGAGTTATAGATTTGGTATCGACATCTTGGGATTGTAAATGTCGCGTAATCAGCTCATATACACACAAGCCTCGTGTCATGCATGGGGAGTATTATCGTAGAACACGAAGGCAGCAGAGTAACAAGCAACGAGATTCTCCACGGAACGTCCACACTCAATGACGTTCGCGAATCAAGAACATATTTCAACCTTCTTGCACCTGAAAAATTGTTGAAATGCAAAGGTCGCTGGAGTTGTTACGTGCACGAACATAACGCAGACTAAACGAGCTTTACATCTGACTGCCATTATGGCGAGAGTGTCCGCTACTTTGGGCCAAAATTTCCCGAGTATAGAAATATAACGTGTTGTTAAAAACTAATAGACCTTATAGAGCAAAGAAGTTTTCCTACAACTAGCAGATAGTATCGGTGTCCACAACTTTTGACTGAAATCCTCATGTACAAACATGTCATGCCAGTTAGGCTGGGTTGTCCACTATTTTGGACCAATACCCCAAAGACAAGCATATTATGCCAGTTAGGCTGGGTTGTCTATTACTTTGGACTAGAAAACCCAAAATACAAATATATCGTATCATTTACGCTAGTGCACTAAAGAAATTGCAAGTAAAGAACGCTAATACAAAAAAAAAAAATAATACCGGAGCTGAGCAAGCGCTTACAATAGAGTGCGATTAGAACGAAGGCCAGTAAAACTTGGGAAAAAATCCTTGGGAAAAAAAAAACAACAAAAAACAAAAAACAGAACCATGGCTCATGCTCCGACGATTGGTAGCCTTCCTACGGAGAATTTACAAAGGTAAGACTGTCGATAGTGAAGTAAAAATTTAATATGGCGATTGCCTGATGTATACTTTATATCTAGTTTTTAACAGAGGAAATATTAAAGCAAGTACTCATTTTTGCAAGTTTGTTTGATTTTAATCGCAACTTAGTTGTTAGAAGTATTTTCAAGAAGTGAACGCTTACTATTATTTCAGGAACTTCACCAAAAAAAAAAATCGACGTTAAAACCACTTTCAAAAGTTTACCAGCTCAAGGTTCCGTCAGCCAGGCCAGGCCCTCGGTTGACTAGGGAATAGCAAAAGACAAAACAAATCTTTTCCCCCTCCCTAGCAGGATTTTCGCTCGCCCCTAAACCAAGAGCCAGGGTGGCCAATCATGTTGCGCGCCTTCCTGATAGTCGGTCAGTAAGTTATACAAAAAAAAACAATAGTATCAATTTGGCGCGAAAATATGCTTGGGTCTTTGTCCGAGGACATATCCGTCCGTTCGCGGACATTTGCGCCAAATTAAGGTTCCCAGTTTTGTTCCATCACTCGCGTGGCGTGTTCAGACCAATTGATCGGGAGGAGAATATTTACTGCATGATATCTGGTGATATTCCGCGCGAATTCGTAGAGTTTTTGTTACGGAAGATCATTAATTTAGCTTGGAGAATATCCCATTTCGATATGTTGACAATCAAGGCTCGGGGAATAGAACCGAAGAAAACAGATCGAGGTCGAATGAAAATTATTTCTATTGTTTTATGACTTTCGGGTCATTACCCTGATTCCAGAGGTTTCTCTTTCCTTTTGGCAATCGATCAAATGTGAGCCACGAAGAGGTGAAAACGAGTCGCCACGACCTTACCAACAGAACGAAGAAAGAAAACCAACGGGACCAGAGTACCGGACCAAGTGTCGTGTCGCGATCCCTAAATCCCTTAATTTTTCCAAGTCGCTGCACGCAATCCGTCCTATCCTTAACCAGGTAATTTTTAGTGATTCTGACTCCATTAGCTTGTTGCAGTTAACCTTCGGTTGAAGGTAATTTTGAACGTTGTGTATAATAAAATATATCGTAGTAATTACTCAAGATTCGTTGTGTATTACAGATAAGGCCAAACAGACTTACTGAAGGAATTTCTTACATGTGTTCGTGCAAGAAATTGAAAATACGTAGATCAAAAAACAAAATGAAACACGACAATCCAGAATTAGTAAAAATGAGAGAGCTTATAATTGATAATATTTATCCGGGTTTCAAAACAGTGACGCTTTTTAAAACAATGCACAACGGTCACAGAGAACCGGTGATTGGCCTGGAAACTGGGTTAAAAATTGGGAAATGGTTAGGAAGGCCGGTAAACATCAAAGAAGCGAACAAACAGGCTGGCATCATGACGGGACGCACGGAGCTTTTACTGTAAGTACCGCAGAGAAATGGTAGGAAATTTTCCTAGCACTCCTTACATACTCTCATTAGGGTTCTTTGTCTTGCGGCCAGGGAAGGCGTCATAATCTGTTTCAGTGACAGAACGGGCCGATGGAACATAACAGAAGCTTTTAAAATGGTCACGATATTAATAGTGCTTTAAAAGCCATTTCCGATGCTTTCAAATGATGGCGGACTCCACCGACGCCAATAATCTGGAACAAAACAAGGTCATTATATATCGAATCACATCTAAACACACGTGAAGAAAGACTTGGGCAGGAAAAAAACGTGAGCGGACAAAACCGGGGAATGCCGATAAATCAAGTAATCTCGCAATGATGAACGAATTACACAACATGAACCTTCCTCTGCTTCTCCCCCTGAACCAAGTTCAGATCTAAGAACTGAACTTAAAGATACCAAAGTGCC